GTACGTGAACGATTTAAACATAATCGGTACGCCTGAGGATATTGAGGAAGTGAGTTCCTACCTGATGTCGGAATTCGAGATGAAGGATTTGGGTAGAACTAAGTTCTGTCTAGGTCTGCAACTTAAACATTCCCCTGATGGGATTCTAGTGCATCAGTTGGCCTACACCCAGAAGGTGTTGGAGAGATTTGAATTTGATAAGGCATATCCTTCTAAGACCCCGATGGTCGGAAGATCTTTACAGCCAGATAAGGACCCGTTCAGGCCAAAGGAAGAGGGGGAGGAAACTCTGGGACTAGAGGTTCCTTACCTGAGTGCAGTTGGAGCACTCATGTACCTCGCAAATTGTACACGGCCAGACATTGCGTTCGCTGTCAGTTTGCTTGGTCGGTACAGTTCTGAACCTACAAAGAGGCACTGGAAAGGTGTCAAGGACGTCTTCCGTTACCTGCAAGGGACCAAAAATCTTGGCCTGTTTTATAAAAGAAATCAAGACCTATCTATTATAGGCTATGCCGATGCTGGGTACCTATCGGACCCGCATGATTGCAAATCATGGACTGGATATGTTTTCCTTTGTGGTGGAACTGCGTTTTCCTGGAAATCGTCCAAGCAAACACTTGTGTCGACTTCCACGAACCACTCAGAAATCATGGCACTATTCGAAGCGTCAAAAGAGTGTGTATCGCTTCGGCGGATGATCTGCCACATTCAGCAGACGTGTGGGCTGAACACCGTACAAACCCCTACCATTATCTATGAAGATAATACTGCTTGTGTTACACGAGTCCAGATGGGTTATGTGAAGAGTAATCCCATGAAGAATATTAACCCTAAGTTCTTCTATGCACATGAGCTGCAGAAGATGAACGAGGTCAGAATCTTGCATACTAAGTCCTGTGACAATCTTGCTGATTAGTTCACTAAATCATTACCTATGCCATCCTTCGAGAGATGTGCATGTGAAATCGGTATGATGAGACTTAGGGAGATGCAAGGTTCAGGGGGAGAAACTTCACAAACTCATCGTTAAAATCTCGGTCCCGATGATCGAGTACTCAACTCGACAGTTGAGTGGATTGTACTCTGTTTTCCTTGAATGAGTTTTCCTGATGTTTCTCACACGAGGTTTTTGACGAGGCAATTTGTGCAATGCAACAATGTATACTATGCGCTCTTTCTCCATATTTTTTCCCACTGGGGTTTTCGGAGTTTTGAGGCATGGATATACGAATAACTGCCCAAGGGGAAGTGTTGGGAAACTTGGGCCTTGGATGGAACAAGTCATTGGCCCATTATAGACCAAGTCCCTCCACTTAACGTTAAAGTGGGCACTTATCCCTCCACCCCCTAGTTATATAAAGAGGGGAGCATCCTGTGTATGTACAGTTGATGATGATTAATAAAGAAAAACTCCCCTCTACATCTCTGTGTCCATTTACTTTCTGTACCTGTGTGTGATCGACTATGATGCTCGCTTTCGCTCCACAACCTTAGACCGAACTCGTCGGCAGGAGTTGCAGAACACTATCTACTCCATAGAAAAGATTAAAGCGGCCTACGGTGACAGTTTAGCGAACATCAGCGGGTACGTAGCCCGCGTGACATCAGGAGAAAGAAGCCGAGTTGGATTCGGGCCCGGCTGTGTGCAGTCCAACTCCGTACCGCGCCGCCGCCGACGACCGAACAGGCATCAGCCGTGGCGGCCTGTCGGTCTTCGCCATCCACCATTCCTCCGGCCGATCGAGTGAGTTTGTACAATTTTTTTTTACCAAGGGTTCGAATCCCTCTCTCTCTGCTTCCTTTGATCATTCGGGACTTTCGAATTGGAAAGAATTCTAACCCCCGAATTTTCTCATAGATAAATGTACGAAACAAATTCAATCTGTAAGAAGCCACAAACATCATTTCAATTCAATCTAGGCCGGAAGTTTTGTTTTGAAATGATCACAATCTGCAGATGGATAGCATAACGACAAGAGAATGCAGACATGTATGGTCGGCAACACAGCTAACCACGCGAACAGACTCCCGACCCCCTCGCGACGCCTCCCCAAGGCGCCTCCAGGGGGCGATCTCAAGCACCCAATAGCCAACCACGACGCGGCTTCCCCTCCGCCGCCGCAGCCGGTGGCATAGGCCACCGCGGCGGCAGGTCTGGTGCCGAAGAGGCCGGGGTGTTGGATGCAACGACGACCCTCATGGATCGGTCGGGGCGAGTCCAGTGGGAGCGTGTGCAGCGGCCTAGGCGGTGTCCCTGGTCGTGAGACGAACACACTATCCTCCATGGCCCGCAGGATCTGAGGTCTCCGGCAATGGTGGGCGTGGTGGCGGCCGTGGATCTGGTCCCCAGCCCGATTCGTCATCGGTTTTGCCGATGGATGGCTGGCGGCACGTTGGGGCCGGTGAGGGTTGCTGGTTCTCTGCCGGTGTACCGGCGGCAACATACGTATTCATGGCGAGGCTCCGCGTGGTCCCAGCCAGCTACGAGATCGGGGCGACGCGACTTCAGATAAAAAAACGCGCCTACTGCGGTCATGGTGGCATCTATGACATAGTGTCCTTCTCGATGCATCGTCGTTGCAGGTTGTGTCAATACGATTGGGATGTTTCGGGGGGAAACCTTTGATCTGGGTCTCCCGGATCGAACGATGAGGGCACCTACGGTGTTGTTTTTCCTTCAAGGGGGTATCATTTTTGGAGCAGGAGCTGACTGGTGGGGACAAGAGGAGGAGGGTATTACATCTATCGCAAGGCCGACGAGGGGGCTTGGCGGCATGGTGCACCGAAGTGTCGCCAACGGGCGTGTGAGGATGGACGCACGCAGGCTGGTGGCGCTGTTTGGCGTCGTGGTGACGTCGACGACGGATGTGATTAGCAAAATCTATGCAATGATCCCTCGTGAAGATGGGAATACAGAAGATGGCGGCGGTGGATCCTAAAACTTGCGGATGTGGTGCGCGTTGTGAGACGCCTAGACCGGTCGGTACTCCCAGCTTGCCAGGCGAACGACTTCTTAATGCCATTGGATTAGATGGTGTCCGTTGATACGTTCAGGGCATATTTTTTATACTTGTAGGTGTAGCGACTTTATTCATCTTGAAGGTGATTTTGGATTGATGTTTGTATTTATTTTGATAGACTCTGATATATAAATTAATAAAGATGGTTGCATGCATTATTTTGATGCAGTGACTCGGAGATAATTAAAAAAAAGAAATTTCTGACGACACAGCTTGCGGTGTCCACGTCGCGCACACTGTTTTGCATAGCCGATCCACGGTCCGGCATCCTACCATGGTCTATGTTCTGCTCAACTAATCTTGTCGCTGACGCTTCTCGCTGAACTACTACGCACCAGTCAGCTTTCAACGCAGGCAAAACTATGGGCGTGCAGCCTTGTCGTTCTCTAATTTGGGCGCCTGCATGTTATACTACTTCTATTTCCCCCGTTTTATGCGAGGACAAGTCATACATTTGTTCTAAAAAGAATAGGCATGTTAGTAGTACTGCTCTTAGGAAGAACACACAAGCAAAGTGGACCGTTTGACCAGCCCACTACATGTCTGCACCGCAAAATCGGAAACAATGGTGCTTCTAGAAACACCAAGTGGCAAGCATATCCCTAACCAACTGCTACTAGGGACAAACTAGTCGACGGTGACAGCAAGAGCATCTCCAGCTGATCCCGTACAATTTTTTCAATAATTGGTTACTGAAGGTGTCCAAATAATCCTAAACGCACGGATAGTTATGGACATCTCACGGGATCAACAACTTTCATTAATCCCTCCTCTATTCTCATGGGGGTGGCCCCCGCCTTCCTCCTAATCTTCAATCCGAAACCTCCACCTAATCACACTCCGTTTGTGTAGCATTAACTAATAATTTAAGGAATGTCTCTATAGCAGATTCCAACAAATCTACCTAATATTTTTTCTATTTCTTTTTAAACTTGTATACGAATGGTATATATATATATATATATATATATATATATATATATATATATATATATATATATATATATATATATATATATATACCAACATAATTTGGTAAGAGCATCATCACACTCAGGCCGGGCTTCAAAAAGCCCGAACCCCAAACTTCAAGCCCAAGCCCCGCTCGAAGCCTAGAACACACACTTTCTCAAGGGAAACTCAAGGCCGACCCCAGCCGGACATAGGCCTAAAGCCTAAAAGCCCAGCCCGTATGTTGCTTCCCAGTGTTGTTATGGGCAAACCCAGTGCAAAGACGAAAGCCCAAGCTCAGCCCGAATATACATTCGAGCTACAAAACAAAGCCCGAGCCCAGCGAGAGAGGCAAGTCCGACCCGGCCCGGCCTGGGTATTTTGGGCCGCGTCATCGGTCCGTAGTTTCAGGCTTCAGCCGCGGCAATCCGTCAATCTTAGTCGTCGGCCGTTCCTCCGGCCGATGGAGTGAGTCCATCCACAGACCAACCACCACGAGCATTTCAGGCCGAAAGGGAAGCAATGGTAGCTGTGGACCGGCCGGTCGCGCGATGAGACAAAATCAGCCGGAGTTGAAAGGGTTCAACGCTGGAATTTAAAATTGGGCGCGCATCATCACACCACCAGTCTGCTACCCAGACGCTTTCGGTTCGTAAAGTACAAAAAAATATGTGGATCCAACGTAACCCTCATCATGTCACAACAGTATCAATAAATAAGATTGGTATTATGAGGTCTTGTACAATGGAAGGTGCTTAGAGAGATGCTTAGAAAAATAAATCGAGTTTTTCTGAAGCACCGGTGCCTATTTCTAAGCGTCTCTCCTGTACAAATAAGCACCGGTGCTTAAGAAACGACCGGTTTATTTCTCTAAGCACCTCGCCTAAGCATCTCCCGTTGTACAAGGCCTGACAAGTGCTTCCAGAATAAACCAACAATGGTTGGTGCTAATTAACGTATGTGTGTCTTCTATCTGAATCCGGACCGGACCTGGAGGCTGCCGGAGCGCCGTCGCAGCGAACGGGGCTACGGATAGGCCTGCTTGCCGTTCACGTACGTCGCCAGGATGTGCCCCGGGATGTCGCCGGCGAACTCACGCCACGAGGTGGACGGCAGGACCACGAAGTCGGCGTACTTCCCTTCGACGAGGCTACCCACAACATGGTCCAGGAAGCAGGCGTAGGCGGCAGATATCGTGTGCCTGCAGCTCGTGCAGAAAGAACTCGATTAGTACAGACAGGAAAACATAGTGAGTTCCTGCAAGTATCATACGTCATAAACACACACACATGCAGATCTCAACATCATACTGTTTGCTAATTCTGCGATATGGAGATCTCAACATCATAATGCGAGTGGATACCGGCATGACCAGATATCAGTGAGGCATTCCATGGCATTTCAGAAACAGAGTATAACCAAATGGAACATGCATGACACCGCAAAGAGACTCACGCTTTCAAGGAATCATCCAGGGGCAAGCGCTCTGCGGAGATCCAAGGCTCGTCCCATCCAGGCAGCTTGCGGGACATCGCAGTTCTAATAGCTTGCAAAGGGTAAATATCTGAAACCTGGAAAATAAACACACACACAAATACAGTTAACTGCCTATATCTCCACCCAAGTAAAGGCTATAATATTTGGAGGAATTTCGGGAAATGCATACAGGCCAATCAGAACCAAAAGCCAGATGTGCGCCACCGGCCAGTAGTGATCGGAACAAGTAGGAACTCCGCTCAGCTCGTTCTACCCCGATCTTCTTCCCAGCAGAGTCAGCATCATCCAACAAATGATCTGGCTGGCAAAAACAAGCGCATATTTCAGAAGATGGAGGCTGCAATCCACGTTTATCATATCAATGTGTGCATTTCATATGATTTCAAGTAACGACATGGAGAACTGTACACAGATTGATATGTACTCACATAACAGGCCATTAGGTAAAATGTTAAAAATGATCTGAAAAGTAACAGGGATTCATTAATCATGAATGGCGGAAGCACCTTGTTTTGCAGGGAATAGCAAAAGCCCCTTAACAATACGAGAATATCTAGATTAAGAAATGACAGGTTACTAACATGTATTTTTTTTCTATGTTACATTTTCTTTAGGCTGTGTCTACTGTCTGTTGTTTACTGGCAGATCGAATGTGATGTCATGGTGCTTTACCTTCAATATGGAATACTTAAAAAGCTGGACCTGTTGTTTTCTCTTGCTTCAGAGTATTTCTGACATATTGTGCTTGTATGCACTGCAACTTCTGTCTTCATAAGATTAGTATGATATTTTTCACAATCTAGACTCCTATGTTTATAACCAGAAGTAACTGAATGAAGTCCTCTAGTTACAAAAGTGCTATCACGATTTCGCCTTTCGAGCAATACAAGAGCCTTCAGACTCCTATGTTTTTATGCAGCGAACAGAGACCATCATTACGAGCATTATATAACATACAGTAATGGAAGAGAATGGTTGACCTGCACAGACGCAATGATACCATGCTCTCCGAAGCGCTTTGCTGCACCTGGGGATAGATGTTGTGCATGCTCAATCTGATTTCACATGAAGCAAGTTTAAATTACATTCAACTTATTAGTTAGTTACTACAAAAATGCTTTGAGGGCAAATTCTCTTGTTCAGTATGCTAGCAGAAAAACATACCCGTAACCTACGGTCCTTCGTTCCATTCAAACTAACAACCTTGTCGAACATATGTAGCAGCATATCATTAGCTTTATCTCCAATTGCATGTATGGCAACCTTAAAAAGAACAATATTACTTTCTCAGATGATGGTAAACATGATTAAGCATGTGCACAAATGGAAAAAACGTGTACCTGAAGTCCTGATTTGTCTGATTCTAATGTTGCATTGAGCAGAACATCCATATCTAACAATTGGAGACCATAATCGCTCGGAGCATCCACATAAGGCTGACCATATATATTAAACTCTTATAAACCAGAACATAATAATTTTATTAATATTTCTGGAGAAATCAACTTCCTAGCTGACACGAGTACACGACCAATATGTTACACGATGGTATAAATTGTAAAACAAGATGTTAATTATCCAAAAAATATTCTAGTTATAAGATGGGGACAAGCTTTTTATATTGTTTAGCAAAGCTATTGCATATCAAGTCAGAGTATTTAGTTCAGCAAAAGGAAGGAAATGAGTAATAATTGTACACCTTTACAGTTTCCACCACCAAATGAATAAGTAACAAAACCAGATACCCTTTTCAAACAACGCTAACAAAAATTCAAACCTTATTTGCTAATGGACCACCACAAATTTTTCAGCCATAAATTCAAAATGCAGAGAAGATTTAGCGCTAAAATATCAACCCTCTAGATAAGAATATGATGTGCATCTCTTCCATAAAAAATATGGTGTAGATATGAAATATCATAGTGCACTAAGATGTAATTTTGAATGACTTGTTAAATGTACTTGCTGACACAACCTTTCTCAATTTACAGTTTCTTGCAGAAACAGAGACTGATCGGGCTAATCATATTGGTGTCCTTTATACATAACAAGACCAATCACAAACTAGTACCATGATGTATCACATTCCACGCACGAGCATAAAACAGAGTATTTGTGAAGCTTTAGCCACAAAAAGACAGCATTGCTATGGACATAAATTTCTACACCATCAATATAAATGCACTAACACTAACAACATGTCTGATAGGTACTCAGACCATACTCAAGACTTACTTACTTCATAGAACCATGCACTTGAGGAACCCAAAGAACCATCAAGAAAAGCTTTCACACCACCTAGATGAATCCACCCACTTAAAGATCGACCTCTTTCATGAATAAGATCCTACAAGAGATAATATGCAGATAATTGTTAATAGCATTCGCATAATATTAAGCACTTAGAACAGAAGAGCTTGGTATATTTCATGAAACATAACTTACAGAAACACGAGGCCATGTCGGCATTGGGAAGAATAAGCAGACTCTGATCATCATCTTTCCCATAGAATGAGCCCATTCATAGACATCTGTTGTGATGTAAGCACAATACTTCAGAACAAATAAGGTTCCAGTCCAAAAAAAGGGTTATAGATGAAAAACTACAAAAGTAGATCCTTGATCCTTCAAAAGAAAGGTACGAGTGAATCAAATTGAAATTCATTAGGAGTCATCCAAACAACGGAAGAAACGTCCAGCTCTACATAACATTTGATTTAACATGAGCAGTATGGTTCTTTTACTTGAATGGCAGAGTAATGCTTGATTATTGACAATATAGACCAGATAGATTAGCTTTATGTCTAACAGAATTAACAAACATTTTATCGATTGGGGGTGCAAAACTCAACGTATATAGTTTAGTTGCATTCTGTTGTTTCAAAAAAAAAAGACATCAACAATGGACGCGTCCCACCAATAAATTCCGCAAAGTATAATGCAGACATATATATGGAACTATTGATATGTTCTATTGTTAACTGCAGAGTATCTGAGTTTGGTGTTTTCATAACACCAATATTACAAGCAAAAGTGGCACAAGATACCAGAAAAATCTTGCCAAGTTTGCTCTTCTGAGGTTCCAGGGAAATAACTTCCAACATCAACAACAGTAGTCACCCCTCTCATTAGAGCGTGTTTACTTGCTCTAAGGAGAGCCTCTCGTCTTTCATTTACAGAGTCTTCTCGAACCACATCAAATACAAGCTTCATAGCAGCATCAACCAGAAGACCAGTGGGCTCTACAAATAATAATGCAGGTCAGGTGAATTTTTAATCTTACCTAAGTGTTTACAACAATGTTTGCACTTGAAAGTACTCCCTCCGTTTTTATTTAGTTCGCATATTAGCTTTGGTCAAAGTCAAGCTTTACAAACTTTGACCAAGTTTATATACAAAAATATTAAGATATACAATAACAAATCAACAACATTAGATTTATTATTAAATGTACTTTCACATCGTATAGATTTATTATGATAAATGTTTATATTGTTTTCTATAAACTTGGTCAAACTTTACGAAGTTTGACCTCAGTCAACTCTAATATGCAGAGTAAATAAAAACGGAGGGAGTACATGACTAATTAAAAAGAACAGTGCACATTACATAGTTAAACATATTATATCACCAATATCTTAATGTGCGAACCATGACTCCGTGAGAATACTGTGAAAATATATACAAAAAATTCAGAAAAGGCACACATGACCATGATAATTCATCATGAACTTTCTTGATCATAACAGTTAACGGTTTGCTTCTGAGTTTTTTGTTGTTGGTGAGACCATATTTGTGCTTGAATTGAAAATCATATTGTATTTGAAAAATAATTCCTGGCCCGCAAAGGTAAAAGGTCAGTGTTAAATGTTAATTACTTAAGTTCAATAAAAGGTTACCTCTTTCCGTTGTTCTTACAATAGTTCCACCAACTGGATCATTTGTGTTTTTGTCAATCCCAGCAATCTTCATAGCCAGTGAATTGGCTAATCCCATGTGACCATCCATGCGTGAGAGCCAGACCTGCAATTGAAAATGAGTCACTGGCTGGCCCTATGTAACAGCTTCTCGGAAAAGATCGAACTCGTGAGATTGAATTGAAAACACACTGGATTATCAGGAGATATGTCGTCTAACCAAGCTGCAGTGGGGAGATCACCACCCCAAAAATCATTGTTCCAACCTCCTCCGCGTACCCACTCGCCAGGATGTTTATCTGTTCAGGAAACAAGTCTCAGAGATAGTAGTAGTATTGCAGAGATATTTGGTGATTGGTAACACCAGACAACTCAGTAGACAAAGACTAGTCGGATACATGCAACAGAAATCATGTCTTGGCAAACCCCTGACCCTTGTGTGCAAACCATGCTAGTATATAAATAACAGAAAGCAGAAACATCCCATGGTGTACAGTAGTACAGTACTAAGCAACAAAATGATTAAAAACAGAATGGATAAACTGAGAGAAAGAGCAGCATAGTTCATGGAAACCTCTGACGGCTCCCTTAACCCTGCTGATGAACTCAGCTTTGCTTCTAACTCCTCGAAGCGGCACCCTCGCCAACTGCAGCAAAGTTCAAACAGAAGTACACTGTGAAGTTAAATTTACAGAACTGTAGTAATATTGAAACTGTAATGTCCCGGCCTGTCCATGTCATGATGTCATTGCAAGGGGAGGCAGATAGGCAAACTGGCAAAGCACTACCTGCAGGCCGCCGTCGATTAGGTGCACATGGGAGTCGATGAATCCCGGGAGCACCACATTGCCACTGAGATTCAGCTCATACGTGTCTCGGCCCTTGAATTCCTGCACTTTACAGTCTATGCAGTCAATTTTGAGCGAAACGCAGGAGACAGAAAATATATGCGCCTGCGGTTGCAGTTGCAGTGACGCCGCAAGCAGAAGAGAGCAGATATTTTTTTTACAGATATAATCTCTGCCGAGAGAGGGGGCAAGCAGGTCGGAGGACAACCTTGAGGGAGTCGTAGGTGCCGACGCGGAGCACGCGGCCGGCGCGAACGGCTATGGCGCCGGCGAAGGGGCGGGCGGGGTCGGCGGTGTAGATGGTGGCGTTGGCCAGAATCAGGTCGGCGAAGCATCCCCGCTGCGCCCCTGCGGGGAGAGGAGACGAGCTGAGCATGAGCTTCCCTCCGCGGGAAAACGGAGGGGGTGGGAGGGAGGAGGAGGGGGCGCGTACATGGGAGGCGGGAAGCGGGGTCGGGCAGGAGGAAGACGGCCGCGACGGCGACCAGTGCTGCGGCGCCGGCGGCGAGGAGAGCGCTCCGGGCGGCCATGGTGGCGGACTGGTGGGGTGGGTGGCTCCTCTGCGCGCTCAGCTGGGGGCGGCGGGGTCGGGCGGGTATCGGTCTCTCTCAAATAATATCAGCAAATAATCTTTTTTTTAAACGCTTCAGCTTTTTTCTTTTGCACATCTCGCAACGTCTATCAAACGGTGTATCCTTATTTTCACATGAAATATAAACCGCCATGATGGCTTTCCCTCAAAAAAAATTCGGAGAGAATCTTCAGGAAACTCGAAACCTGAAAGAGAAAAATTGATTCATTAGCATGCGAGAATTTTTTAGGGAGGGATAAGGGATGGGGCATATGCTCTTGATCACCTCAAACCTGTTTAGAAGTGAAACGCATTATACATCCAAGAAATGCAGGTCAAATGCGTTTCTTTTCTTTTCAAATTTCTCATGTTACTCCCTCTTTTCAATTTATAAGTCATACCTACGGTAGTATTTTCGATCAAATTTTATTTTGAAATCGTAACTTGTAATTTTTGTTTTCTTTCGTATGAACCGAACCATAGCAGCTCGCGTCTTGTAAAGTTTCCACTGCGGGTGGGGGCTATTATCACGATCTCATTCATATGTTTTTTCCTACTCCCACAGCCGTGTCTCATGTGAAATCCATGCGATGCGATCCAAACAGGTCCATGCTACCACACAAATTAACAAACAATCAAACAGGTCCACAAGCAGACGTCGTTTTTATTGAAGAGCAGCACATCACGCTCGCTTCTTTTATTGACAGATGACAGGTACGTGTCCAGTTATACAGTCTTACGTTTACACGAGCGAGAGCGACTCGGACATTATTGTTTCAGTCTCTCGAATGCTCTTTCTCTCTCTCAGACGTACCTCTGACAGGCACCTCAGTCAGATGAGACGATCAATTAGGTAGCTGGGAGCTGTAGATGTCGTGGCACGACGATGACGGCGACAGGGGACGCAGCCGCAGCGAGAACCTGTAGCTCGCCGCCGGCGACAGCAGGTATTGCTCGTGCACGCACGGCGTCCAGCTGTCGTCCCCGCCCACCCCCATGTGCCTGTGATCAAGATGCACCTGCAACACACAACAACACAATCGAGACCATTTTCAGCACCACTCCGTCACCTCAGTTCCAACAGTTTTTCAGAGAGATATCACATGGAGACGGAAACAGGACCTCGATGTCGTCTCCCTTGACCAGCTTGTGCTGATGGGACGCCCGGTCGAGCTCGGCAGCGCCATAGTAGCTGGCGCTCACCTGCATAGGCAAGGACTCATCGTGGGTTGACGCGAAAAGGCCGAACTTGTCGGCGTTCTTAAGCGCCACCCACCGGACGTCCACACGGCCGCCGCACTCGCCCGGGACGATGTAGGGCATGTGGAGGTCTTCCACGCCGCTCTCGTACACGCCGACGTGCGCCGCGGCCTTGCGGTCGGGGTAGCACTCGAACGGGCCCCTCCCGTACCACGTGACATGGTTCAGGGACTTCTCCGCGTTGAACACGACGCCCACCCGTGGGAGAGGGGGGAGGTCGCTCTTGGGGTTTACCTCGTAGTCCAGGATTACGTCGCCGGACTCGTAGATCCGGCAACGCATGTGGACCCGGAAAAGCACGGACTCAGAAGCCTCTGAAAGAGCGGCAGCGTCGGGTTTTGGCAGGTGCCCTGGAAGGCCGTAATATGTGGTAGAAACCTCGACGGTGTGGTCTGGCAGCTCCTTCACTGAAAACTGGCTGCTGTAGAAAGAGACGTTGTCGAGGAAGGCTTCTCTCCATGTTGTGGCATAGGACTTGGTGTAGAAGCCTCCATTGTCGTTGTCGGTTGGTGCACGCCAAAAACAAGGAAATATTCCCTTGCTCATAAGCTCGACATTGTTGATCTGTTGTTCACACAAGTATCATGAGTTCCACATTTCGATGAACGGAATAGCAGTGACGCTGATAGAAGTTCGAATCATATTCTGTGTCTGGCATACTAATTACTAAGGTAACTGTAAACTAACAATGGAACAGCTCATCTGCAGTTGTTCAGATTTCAGAACACATGGAAAATAAATACAATTAGAAGTTCTAGATGAATGTAAACATTGCAAACTGAAAGGAGCCATCAAAGCATAAAAGGGAATAAAGTGAAAACAGATGGCCAAGTTTAGAAGACAAATACTAGTACTCCGTATGAGATATCTCATGGCAACAGCTTATTGTGACAAGTTTAAGTCACATAAATATTAAAAAAAAAACATGATACGAAGACTCAATCATAAGCCGTGACTAGATATTTATACAGCATGGATGGTATCCTTCATAAAATCTGGAGCATAGTCATGGATGGCGCTCACAAGTTACAGCGTGCATTGTGCAAAGCCAGTCGCTATTCAGGACCATACAATTCTTGGAACCAACTGGAGCAGATAGGTACCACAAACTACAGCGACGCGTGGAACACCTTTTTAAAATAATGATAGATGCTACATAACTGTGAACTAAACAGGCCAACCTTTTCTCTCTTTTTTTTGTGCAAAAAAAGCCAAGTCATATAAACCTGATATTTGTTCAGATGAACCTCCCAAAAAATCTGCTTTCATGGTTTTGAGCATAGTCTCAATTGGACTTCTTATATGTTTATTATCCTCTACTTGCCTCCTAGATCTAGGATGCACACTCAAATATGCTAACAGAATGAAACTTCCTTTGGACAACAACAACATACCTTCCAACTGTCAATTGTTCCCAACTGACTGTTTATTTTGATTTGCCATTCGTGGTTCTTGCTAATGATTACACCATCACCAACCTGTTCAGAGCTCAGAGGGCTCTTGGACAATGCTATCACCTGAAGATGGTAGTGTCTGGTGAGCAGTAAGATAAATGAGAAGAAACAGGAGTGAACAGGTCAGTCTGAGGAAACATACATGAGGAACAAAACCCTTTGTCTGAGGTAAACAAAGTTGTGCTGAAGCCAAGACATGACCAGCTTTAGCCCATCGTGTTTCGTCCTTCAGTATCACGTGTACAGACAAAAAGGTTTCTTTTGCTGCACTGGTACTCCAGAGAGTAAACCAAGGTGATGATTCCATGTTGATAAGATGGCTACTTTGTGGTGCTAGGTTTGGAACACTGAGTAAACCAGAGCCCAAAACGCATCCGTCCCCATGAAGAATCCAACTGAAGTCCAAAGCCTCTGTTGTCTCAGAAAATTGTCTATTTTCAATCTGCATGAGAATAATAACCGATCTATTAGATCCTTTAACCATGTAATGAAACAACTTGAGCAATATTTATCAGATCAAAGGCTACCTTAAGAATATTATCCACCAGCGATATTTTGATAGGCTGGTAAAGATATTTAACCTCTGCAAGAAGAATTAATTGACCGAGTAAGTTTGACATCTAGAGGCTAGTGAGACGAAGATCTTATGTGTAACAACTTCGTGAAGTAACAGATTATCAGGATTTAAAGTACATGTAAAACAGCAATAAATTTCTTTCCAATTGACAGGTGTTTCCAGTTACCATTAACAGCAGGGTGAAGCGTCCGATCAGGCCACACAATGCCATTAATGCAAAAATTTAAGTCATTTGGAGTGTCTCCAAAGTCACCACCATATGCCCAAGATTTAGATCCATCAGCATCCTCCTTCAGTAGACCCTGAATATTTTTTGAAAATGACGTAGTGGAGAAACAAAATTAAGACACTACAACAACAAACAGAGTTGATGATCTATGTTGGCATTTAAATTTTGTGTATTCTAGATTAGATTGACATGGGTCTATGAGTCAATATTATTTTCGATGAAAATGGCCCAACAGTGACCCGATATGTATGTCATGTACACTAGAATCATGATTAAACACAAGGACAACCATGCAAACAGAAATTTTGGCATAGCATGCTCCCAGTAAAAAAGAAGGTTAAGGGTAAGATGAGAGTAAATCGAACATAACCTGATCGACCCAGTCCCATATAAAACCTCCTTGGAGTCCCATCGTGTTGTCTATCGCCTTCCAATATGCGTCAATATTTCCATTACTGTTCCCCATAGCATGTGAATATCTTGAAAATAAAGGGAAATGTTTTATTTAATATTTCAGGTATATGAATATAAAAACAAAGGGAATCAAGTATAAATGTGGTGCCACAGTTACCATACTCGCAAAGAATGAGGGGCCTGTTTTCAGATGGGTCATTTGCAATCTTGAGAATATCCCAGACACGCATGTACATGGGGCATACAATATCTGTGGATGATGTTCTGGAGCCACCTCCTTCATAATGGATGAGCCTTGTTGGGTCTCTTCCACGAACCCACCCTACAAGATTATGATTCACAAAATCATAAAAAAAACTGCAAGACTTGAACCGGCATCGCAGAAAACGTTTTACCGCTTACCAGACATAGCAGAGTGATTTGGTCCATATGAGGCTTCATTTCCCAAGGACCAAATAATTATGCACGCATGATTTTTGTCCCTCTCCACCATGCCAACGACACGATCAAGCATAGAATTTGCCCAGATGGGTTCTAGTGTAGGATGTTTGAAATGGCTATTTTCATCAAAGCCATGTGTCTCGATATTGGCTTCATCAATTACATAAAGACCAAAAATGTCGCATAACTCATACCACCTTGGATGTTGGGGGTAATGGGAGTTTCTAACAGCATTGATGTTGTTTTGTCTCATCAAAACCAGATCCTATCAAAAGATAAACAGTAAATAACTGAAGCTACTGACTGGAAACATCAAACTGAACAGATGGCATGCTATGCTTTCAAATATGACAGTTTACAGAAGGGATGAGTAACCTTGATCATGCAAGCTTCTAAATTTGTCTTCCCAACACGTGGATGATGCTCATGTCTGTTGACACCTCTAATTACAACAGGAGATCCATTGACAAGCATCTGCTTGTGTGCCAGGACCACATTACGAATCCCTACTTGGCATGATTCACAATCAATAAGCTTCCCATTGGCATCTTTAAGGAGAACAACAAGAGTGTATAAGTTCGGCTGTTGGGAAAGGAAATATAGTTATAAGATATAGTAGTTCAATTGTAAATACTAATGTTTTTATAGAATTTCCCCAGCATTAGATTTCTTACTTTTTCACTAGACCAAAGCTTTGGATTTTCCACTTTTCCACCAAGAACATAACCATGAAAACCATGGCAAGGGCCGCCCTTAGGTTTTGGCTTTGTCTTCAAGTTGACCACGTTAGCAGCAGACATGTCTGAATTCAAATCATCAGATGATTCAGAATTATCAAATAATGTTGCTTCAATCGACAAAGTTGGGATATGCTCCCTGTCTTGCTTGTGTGAATCAATTTCCACCTCAACCTGAAATATAGAACAAAATTAAAAGTCAGTATAATTGTAGAACAGCATCGTTTCCTTGACTAATACATAAGTTAGCAGCTATACCATCTGGAAGGTAGAAAATGGTTTGCCCAATATAGAGTTATTAAAACTTAAAAAGGGCGAGACATACAAATCTATATCATGGGAGCCATGCAGAAACATTTGATAAACATGTTGTCTTTTGTCTGTTTTGACTTCATGATATAGGATTATATAAGACACTAAGCCTGCTCTGAAAAGGGCAGACGACCTTTCTTCAAAAGAAAAAACGATGTGATCAACTTAAAAAGATCTATTTGGTTTAGTTCAACTATAATTAATAATATGCTTGTTTGAAGGTTAAATTAACATTCCCATCCCAAAAAGGATTATACCACTGTTCACTATTTTCTTGCAGCATGCACTCCAGCATGTAGCATAGATGTTTATAATCTGACCAAGATGGCTAGCAAAATTACCTCAATATCAGCTACCCGGAAGTTCTCATCCAAAGTTGCTTTGAAAAAGTAATCTGTAATAAAGATCTGGAAGGGGAAAAAAATACAAACTCATTAACCAAGATTTTACACTGATCAGTGATCACAGACAAAAACAATCTAAATGACAAATGCAGTTTACATGTCACAAGTTCAAAACTAGCATGTTTGTGCATAGTTGCTTACGTGGGTGATATATTACATAATAATCTGGTCACTGCTAATATATACAAGAAAAAAGTTTTCAGCCGACATTTCGCATCTGAGTGTAAAGATGAAAAAATAAGAGTACTCTATTGTTTTTCTGGACATAGCTGGCAACATGAACACTGCTATTACTCATTTGATCCCTGAAACAATCTATTACTCATTCATGAAATGATGTACTTTACTCAAGTGTTAAATTCATGGTGTGTCAAAAATAACAGCTTAGAATTCATTCAATAAGACGCAAGCAGAACTCAAGAAGTAACCTGTGGCTTTGATAATAGCAACACATCTCTGTGAATACCGGACAACCACCAATGGTCTTGATCTTCAAGATAAGAACCATCACTCCACCTCATGACTTGAACAGCAAGAACATTTTCCTTGTCTGAATCACAATGATGGCAGCAATCAGTGATTTCAAATTCAGCAGGAAGCCTGCTGTCTTGGCTGCATAAATACACAAAATATGGAGTTACTTTCTGAACAATAGAATAGAAAACTCCAGTAGATGACTATAGCCAATTGGTACTCAAGTAAATACTGCAAGGATCTATTACAAGTCACCACCATGAAATTACTTCATTTTGTATTATGGGTTATATATGAACTTGATAAGTCTCTGTACAGTTTTGGAGATAAAAAAATACAAGCAGTGAGGTTATCTGTGTCATACCTATAGCCAATTGGTACGCCATTTACCCAAGCAAGAAAAGCTGAATCAACAGCTTCAAAGTGCAACAAGATCCTCCGACCTATCATAATCAGCTCAGAATTGTTTAAAAATGGAATGGACATAATATATGATAACAGTCAGTGCTATATCCATGTCAATCAGAGACATAAATATTATGCATAAGGAGACAGAACACAAATGTCATAATTAGCATAACAGGAGACAGCACAGGCATACCATAAGAACAGGAAGAAAATGTAAAGGGCAAACAATTATGTCTGTGTAATTAAGGAGATAGGTAACAAATATAAACCAGCCAAACTCTTGGAAAACTGCACGGTCAGATTAGGCGAATCCTAGATGACAAAAAAATTGACAGCAGGATTTGCCATTGTCAGGATTTTTTAGGTAATTTAATGAACCAACTACTCATAACAGTAAACAAATTTTCTCTCAGTGTTGTTATTTGATGCACAGACAAATTTTCAATTCCATGGACCATGTAAACATCATCACAGTAAACAAACTCATTTTCTTGGAGGTATCATCCCTGTATTCAGAATTGTCCAGCATTATAGCTGTTTATGCTAGTTGCAATGCAATCAATGGATTCAAAAGATCTGGTTGCGTATGCAAGATTTTGATTCTGTCAGAAGTAGAGCAGGTGCAACGCAATGAACGGATTCATAATGGAGATCTGGTTGCGTATTCAAGATTTTGATTTCGTCAGAAGTAGAGTAGGTGTAACAACCACATGTCCGCATAAGCTGCAATAGATATCATACCTTTCCATTCTTTTGGGATGTGAAAAACCTTCCTGTAACAGCCTGTGGGGTTCTCAGAAGGCACAAACGGCGGGTTCATCGGGAAAGGATAAGTGACATTTGTGTAGATCGGACGGTCGAACCCGTGCATCTGCCAATTGGATGGAACTGCAACCAAGTTGATATCCATATCCATTAGACAACAGAATTCCAGCAAAACAAAACAAAAAAATACATAACTAAATAACAGCAGGAGACTAAAAGCACATCGGAACCAGCAAGCAGCAACCGTGCCTGGCAGAGCCTCCCAGTCAGAGTCATTGAACTGGGCGTCATAGAACTTGTCCGGGACGGTCTCCGGCGACTGCGCCAGCCGGAACTTCCAGTGCCCGCTGAGCGACCGCGCGTACGGCAGCCCCCGGGACCAGAACGCGGCGCTCTCCAGCGCGCCGCGGACCGCGCCGTCGTCCCAGACGGCGGCCTCGGCGTCCAGGTGGCTCACGTTCCTCCGCTCGCGCCAGTACTTGAGCGCCCCTGTTTTTTGACAGTTAAAAACAGAGAGCAGAAAAAGAAGTTCAGAAAACAGCATGAGACCTGATATTTCTTGCTGATCGATCCGGTGTGGGCGCGGCGATGTTCGTCTCACCTTGGAGCGTGTCCTGCGAGCGGAGCGGCACGTGCGCGTCCCGCTTCCTCCACCGGAAGAAGGAGGGGTCCTCCCAGAGTTTCTGCTGCGGGGAGTTGGTGGGCGGAGGAAACATGGCGCCCCCGCTGGCGGAGGCCACCGACATGAATCAATCACGGAGGCCACACGAACAAATCGCCCGCGCTATCTGCCCTCAAAACGAACAAATCGCCGTCGCTCCCTGCCCTCAGAACGAACCGCGCGCCGACGAGGAAGGAGAAGCAGGAGGACCTGGTGGAGCCAGACGAACGAGTTAAACACGGAGAGGGCAAGCCCGCGACCAGCCGAGGAGCGCGGCGACTCCCGATTTCAATTCGAATTCGATTCGGACTGCCGCGGAGACAGGATGCGCTGCTTGTACAGAAGGAACATTCAAGCTGAAGATAGGGTTCCGTACCGGCGAGAGGAGGGCGGGATCGGCCCCGCGGAGGCCCGGCGGCTCGTCGCCGCCGTCGAGGGAGGGAGGGAGGAGTGGAGGCCGGGGAGTGAGGAGGAGTTTTTTTCTTGAAGAGAGAGAGAGTGAGGAGGAGTTTGGGGGGAGGAAATCACAGGGGATTAACTGATAGTTTATCACCACAGAAGAGGTGGCGCGCGAGAGGACTCACTGACGTGTGGACGGCGGGCCCACGTGCCAGTGATACATCGAGTGGCTGTAGGCCGTACGCAATGTTTTGGAGATAGTTTTCTTTCACTCTCTCCGTAAACTAATATAAGAGCATTTGGATCACTATTTTAATTATCTAAACACTCTTATATTAATTTATAGAAGAAGTAGATTCGATACGCGACAGAATATGATTTCTTACTCTAGTCAAGAACCGGCATGTGCAGCATGATAGTGGATATATTTTGCTTCAAATCTGACAATGGATTTGAATAGTGTTAGTGCTTATATTAGTACGTTGGCGATTAGTGCGTGTCGACATTGTACTCGGTGCAATGTTTTCTTCTTTAAAAAAAGAGAAAAGTATACTTTTCGTCTCTCAACTCTTCGCTGAGTTTAGTTTTCGTTCCTTAACTCTAAAACCGGACAGATTGCATCCTTAACTTATGAAACCGGACAAAATTCGTCCCTTCTCTCGGCGGACCCGGTTTGGGTGCTGACTAGGTGCAGTTTTGACCAGTCCACGCCAACGTGGCAAGACGTCCCCACAAAACAGATGGCCTGCTCCCTCACTCTGCATCTCTCTCGCGTTCTCCCCACCCTCCCTCTCTGAAGCGGCGACGACAGGCAAAGACAGCAGGCGACGGACGCACCGGAGGCTCGCCGGCGGTGGCTGAGGTTAGGGATCCGACGCGGCGGCGCACGTACTGCGGTCCTCTCTCAAATCCCCCTCATTTTCTCTCGGTCCTGCAGCCATCCAACGCGGCGGCACGCCGTCGGCGGCGGCGGCGGCGATGCACACGCAACCTATGGCTTCCGGTGATGAGGCCAGCATGTTTTGGGGCCCCCCGACCGAGGACGGCCATGCAGATGCATACATGGTAAGCTTGTCCATGTGCATCTTGATTTTTAGCATGCCTGATTTAGGAACAAGGGTTTGAGGATGATAGATGAATATTGAGAATTTTCTGTAATTTGCAGGATGCTGAGTACCTAGATCTTGTGTCTGGGGATGTTCCAATGGAGATTCAAGACATTGAGCATTGTGGAATTGAGGTCGATAGCAAGATAAAATGTTTCCATGGGGATGATCCAATTAAAAAGGTTGCATTTGAGGGTGTGGACACAGGAAGAAGATTCATCGCTTGTAAGAATGCAAAACCTTGTAAATTTTGAATTTGGTATGAGCCAGAGTGGCCTGCAACTTTGCAACGAGCTCTACAACAGTTGTGGGGCATGGTTCAGACAAACCAGAAGAAAAAGGAGGAGTCTGAGGCCCTTGTCAACCAGATGATGTTGGAGAAAATGACATTTGCAGCTGCAAATGCTTCTGTCACTCAGGAGAAGAATGAGGTTGTACAGAAGAAGATGCAACTAGAATTAGATGTGGCTGATATGAAGGAGAGGTACTAGAGGAAGATGAAAAGAATGAAAAGAGAGCTTCAGTGCAAGGAGAAGTGGCTACTGATGTCAGTTAGCTGCAATGTAACTGTTGTGGCTGTAGTAATTTGTCTGTTTGCAATGAAGCTGCTATCTTAAAGTAGTTTGCAGTTTGTAATGTAACAGTAATTATGTGTTGAATTTGTATCACTGTATGCTATGGATTTCAGCAGTATTTTGTCTAAATTTCAGTAGTTTTTTTGTCTGAATTTTGAACATATATGATCACAGTTTTTGTTGCACAAACATTCATGTATGATCACTGTTTCTGTTGCACAGACATGAACAAACAAACTGGAGATTTAATGATACATACACACTGGAAATTGAAAGAAACACATTCTGATCCATGCACACTGGAAATGGCCTTTTTGAATTGCACTGAGAATTAGCAGCACCAGAGCTCACATTCACTGTCACAGCTGAGCTTGAACTGACATTAACATGCACCCCTTTGACAGAAGCTTTAGATGGCCCTTTCTGTTTCTGCACTCCTTTTCCCTTGTCTACAGTAGACGCCGACATGTTAGAAGCAGACCTCTTTGTCCCTTTTTAAGTCTTGGGTGCACTACTGCTTTGTTGTGAAGCCATGGGCTGAAATAAAATATGTACAGAAATTAGAAGAGATCACAAGTTAAAAATATGTACAGATAGAAATTGAAGAAAAATAAGTACATACATATAAAGTGAAGAGATTTTTTACTAACCTGCCTCACAGTTTGAGCTGGTTGGCTGCTTTCTTTTATATGACAAGTTGTTTTATTGTGCCCCGTCCCTTTGCACTTCGAACATCTGATCACCGTGCCTGTCTTTGGTAACTTTGTTTTGGAAACTTTCTTCTCACCCTTCTCTTTGTTCCTCTGAGTCTTAGGCCTACCAGGCATTTTCACATATCCTGGAGCTACAGGTCTTGGCCTTGGAGATATGGGCCAGCTAGCCATTCCATCGACAGGTTGCAGGCAGTAGGCATATGTTTTCTTGAAAGCAGCCACATAGAAGCAACTAGCTATGTAAGAAGACAAATCACTTCTTTTTGTGTGGATTGCTGAAATGGCATGTACACAAGGTAACCCAGCAAGCTGCCAGTACCCACATGTGCAATTCAGTCTATTCAAATCCACAGTAAACCTGTGATTTTTGTTCTGTGTAACTTCAAATATATCTTGACCATTGCATACAGGTTCACATTGGGCAGAATATTCAATGTATTTGTTCAGTTTTTTGTTGATTGTAGGGCAAACTATATCTCCTGTCCATTTAAGGCATTTTGCAATCATTTCCTGGATTCTAACCATCACCTTTTGTCTGATAGCCTCTAGCATTGAGATGATCGGCAAGAATCTAGCATCTATTATCCATTTGTTGAAACTTTCACAGATGTTATTGTCGACAGAGTCACAGTTAGATCCTAACCTGAACCATGCTCTAGACCAATGCTTGGGATCTAGCCTTGTTATTGCCCTTGCACCTTCAACAGTTTCTCTTGCAAGCTTTGCCCTTGCATAGTTGAACAAACTCACACATGGAGCCTTTGCACAATTCCAAAATAGTTTCTGCCAATCTTTAATTCTATACTCTTTCCTCCAGTTAGCATAAACATGTCTTGCACAATTCCTATGTTCAGCAAGGGGAGCCCAATTCTAGACAGCGTTGATGATGCCCTTTTGTTGGTCTGATATAATGACCCAACCATTACCATCATACACATCAACATCTTTGAAAAGCAAAGAGCAAAACCAATCCCAAGACTCATTGGTCTCTTTCTCAACCACCGCCCAGGCGATGGGGTACATCTGGCTATTGGCATCTCTTCCCAATGCACATAATAGCTCTCCATTAGTTGCACCTTTGAAGAAACACCCATCTAGTCCAATTACTTTTCTACATCCAGCCTTGAAACCCTCCTTCAGAGCAGACAAACATATGTAAATCCTTTGAAAGGTTGGAATGCTACTTTTTGGATCTAACTTGACCACTACAGTACTTCCAGGATTGCTCCTTAGTAACTCCAGCTGGTAGTCAAAAATCCTGGTATATTGCTCTTTAATGGCATCATATATTTTCTTGATAACCATTCTCTTTGCTCTCTTAACCTGGGATGTACTGACATTCACACACATATCTTCCTGGATGTGTTTTCTCAGATGTGCAATCTGCCACATTGGGTTAGAACTGATGACCTTCTCATATTTGGCTGCAATCCTTGTTGAAGTTACCAACTTGTTGTCTTTCCTAGGTGGACAGCAGTGTGCATCGTTGAAACTTGTTATCTGCCAGCTGTTTGACTTACTTGTCAGACTAGCAAGGCAATACCATTTGCATGTTTGCCAATCACAAGTGGCCCTACACCTATTATTATCATTCTTCCTAAATCTTATGAGTTTTTTCTGCTTAATGCCATAACTTATAACTGCATGCCTAAACTCTTCCCTTGAACCAAACTTCATCCCTTAAACAAATTGTGGGGTTTCTTCACTTTCTCTGAATCTTTTGAAGCATCTGTCTTCCCTGGTTTCACCTTCTTCATCATAAGAATCATCAAACTGAGAAGAGTCATCATAGTCAGTGTCATTGTCATCTTTCTCTGAATTGTCATCTTCCATTGTCTTTGATAATCCTACTCTAGGTTGCTCAAAAAATAGATGATCTAGAATCTGTATCTCCCCTTTTCTGATTTTTTCTTGTACTCTGCATACGTCTTCTTTATCTGTTCTGCTTCTTCATCTTCTTCAGATGCATCTTCCTCATCAGGACAGTAATCACTATCTTCTTCGTCTGAACCAGAGTCAAACATATGTGTATCTGCTATAGCCGCCGATGCTTGAAATTCTGTTTCTTCACTCACAGCTACAGGCATTTGTTCTCCTACAGGAACAATTTCTAGATCCCCACTAGTACTTGCTGCTCTTCTTGGCTTGCACTTCACTGGACTTCTTATAGTAAAAACACCTCTACATCCTTCCTCTGATGCACTTGTCAGCATGTACAAATCCTCTTCAAAACTGTTGTCCACCTGCATATGATCCTGATGTGTTACAGTTTGTCCAGAAATCGACTCCACA